CGCCAAGATACGGGATAGTTCTAGAAACGTGGCGTCACTGTAGTCATGTGATCTCGATGACGCAACATAACGAGCGGAGACGTAACAATATTCTCGGCTGTGTATTATAAACATTGTGCTCAAAATTGTCATTTCACACACACCAACACATATATATATACATAAAATATCAGTATATTATAACATTATGTACCCAAACAACTGATAGCTATCACGGTAAAGTAGATCCCTCTTTGCATATAATTACCTGTAATAGTAATACATATAATATGATACTATTGCAGTATATTGACTTATGAATTCACACTGCAACACATCATACAGATCTAGTAAATTTGGTGTAACAGCTTTACTAACATTATTAGTGCAAGGGTGTAGCTAGGGTCTTAACAGTATATAACTATTCAAAGTAGAGAGCCTTGAGGGTCCTTTGCCGAACGCCTAAAATTGGCGTTTAAAATGTTGCAACAATGGTGAACTCCAACACTTCTTAGAGAGAAAGAGAGAGAGAAAAGAAGTGATGATATCCAACTGTGGTTTTTGCGTATAGGGAGCTACGCCCTTGATAAATGTTTGTCTTACAATAAGCATGGCATCCAGTACTCGAAACAAGCCCCTCCCCTCCAGTGGCTCATCGATAATTAATTAGTTAGTTTGTTTCCAGTTAAGCACAAAGCTACACAGGAGTTATCTGTGACCTGACAACCACGGGCATAAAAATCCAATTTTTAGCGTCGTAAGTCTGCGGATTTAAAACGCTAAAAACTTGGTTTTGACACCCGTAGTGGGCACAGCACAGATAGTCCATTGTATAGTTTGTGCTTTACAATAACCAAACCAAACTCAAAACAAAAACATAGTTGTGCACATATGTGATCGTTTTAGAATTCCTTAGTTCATCAGTTCCACACCAATTGGCTAAATTTCACCTGCTATACACGTAATTCAATGCATCAAAATATTATCTAATTATATTTTGTATTTCTTTTTGTTTGTTATTAAGAAAAAGCTACACAATGGGCTACCTGTGTTTTACCCACTGAGAGTATCGAAACCGAGTTTTAGCGTTGTAAGCTGCGAGACTTACCGCTGGGCCACCGGGGGGGGGGAATAAAAGCTTACCTAATGGAATACCACACAAATTTCGCAAATGTTTTGACAATAATTCTCCTCATCTTCCGTTTTTGCCTCAACAAAACAACGTTTTCTTCTACAAAAATAAAAACGCGAACGCATACCAAAGGAGATAAACACTGACATAACTAGAACTGTCACACAGTGGGCTGTTGTGTGTTGGCGTAGGAATAGTAACCAAAGTTGTATGAGCCCCTCCCCCGTCTGCCCTATAAATGCCCGAGATAAGCTATTCAACTGCCCAACAACTGCTCTCTCCTGTATATGGCATAGTTCATCTAAAGTACAATCCAGTGCCATTCCTCGTTACCACAACAACAACAAAAATCGCACTCCACAATTGTAACGATGGGTACGTTATAACAGTGACGGTCAAATCAAATTTTTGGTCAGATATGAGAAATTCAAGAGTTGGCAGTGGGTGCTGTTGACTAGGCGCCTATCCCTGTATAGCTCTTGAAATGTGACACCTCATCTATATGCTATAATACATAGTATAAATAAAAATCGTTATCATGGAATTTCAATAATAGACCCGCAAAGGTTTATTGTCATATGCCTTACCTGAATTATACGTCCACATGAAGAATGCATTTCAATCGTTTAATTTGTTTATAATTAGCAGGTACTTATCATTTAAGTTTATCTAACCAAGGCATCTCTGAGTCGTAGCCCTTCCACATCCCCACCTCTTGTTGGCATAGCGGTAAATCTTAGCAATATAACGATACTCGCGATGGGCAGAGCTTAGATATCCCATTGTGTAGCTTTGTACTTAATAATATATATATAAAGAAACTCTGAGTCGTAAAAATACAATTGATATATTATCTGTTGTTTATATACAGCGACTCCACATAATAAAAGATATATAGATATACTATTCGTGTACATTTATTTTATAATTTTTAAATATAATGATTTTAATATTTTTGAATGCAGCATTTATCCATTCAGGTTTCATACTAGAAAATACTGTATCTACAATTTAAGTTTATTTTGCAATCTGTTGTATTTATTTTCATTAAACGGAAAAGTACAGGAGCGGCGCTACGTTTCGCTCCAGCCCCATTCAAAACTAGAACAAGAACTAGGGGAATTCCCTTCCTGCACGGCATATAAAACGTAATGACTCCTCGGTTCTGTCAATTATTATTATACCAGTGTTTATAAGGAAGTTCGGTTTTATTTGAAAACACTAACTTGGATACATTTATTAAAGGCTGAAGGTAAGCTTAAAATAACTGATTTTTTTTTTTGCTAGATAATATATATGACAGTCGAAGTTTCTGCTTTTTTAAATCAAATATCGGTTTGTTTGTTTCGGCGCAAAGCTACGCAATAGGACATCTGCGCTCTGTTCACAATGGAGAATCTAACCCCGGACTTTAACATTGTAAATCAATGAATTTACTGCTGATCTGGGGGTACGAAATTATTTAATGGGGCGTCTGTACGACTTGTTTGATGTTAAGCTCGTAGCTGTCTCCCGATGGGGCAACGGTAAGTTCATGGACTTACAACTCTAAAATCTGGGGTTCGGTTCCCCGTGGTGGACATAAAAGATTGCCCAACTTGGCTTTTCTGTAAAACAGAGAGAGAGAGAGAGAGCTCGTAACTATACAATGTGTTATTTGTGCTCTGTTCATCGTGAGTATCGAAACACGATTTTGGGCGTTAAGATTCATCAGACTTACCGCTGAGCCACCACGGGCGCTGAAATATTATAAATTGTTGTAGCTTAAGTTCAATAAGATATCGTTATTATTGTGTATGCAAAAACATCTGAACACGGGAGTTATTTTACCAACACTCAAAATCTATGTTTGTTTGTTT